TATGATTTCACGCTTCCAGTGAATTTCACACAGCTTTGATTCCTAAAAGGTATTCTCATTCTGGCTGCAATGGACTGCAATGGACGTATCAAGCTTATCCGCTGTACTACCAAGTTCCGGGTTCGAATCCCGTTGAGGGTGCAGACGAGACCAGTCCATTCGAGGCTGGATGATAGTAACTTTGTGGAAGCAAGGCCCAATGGAAACGTAGGGCCTACTCATCAGACTGCGGGAAAATGTCAACTGTCAGACCTTGATTACATTAAACTAAATAGCTCTTATATCAGATCTACTGTTGGTCTCGAAAATCCACTTGTGAGATGCGAAATCTTTGCTCACACTCACCGGAATCGAAGTAGGCCACCTCAGGACAGGAGTATCAAGAATGTTCCAGTAACTCCAACCTATAGCCAGTCAGAGAAATCCGCGGCCGGCCGTATTCTGGTGGGATTCACCTTCCTGCCCCTCAGCACACACACACACACACACAAACACTTTCGAGACGATCAGCCAATCAGATATACGAGTTGCGTTCACCCAGTTTCGTGTAAGGTGATGAAGGACTGGTAGTAGAATTTTCCCACAATTATATGAAAATAGAGCTGACGTTTCCATTCAATTTCACATAGCCTTGCTTTCCCAAAAGTTGTTCTCATCCATGCTTCAACTGTGCGAGGTGCAAACTGCCGTCCAGCCTTGATGAGAATACGTTTTGGTGGAAAACATCAAGTCTAGTCATATGCTTGTGGGAAAATTGCACCACCAGTCGGTCATCGTCTTCAATGACGTAGAGTGAATACAACTTCATACTTGTAAGCGCACAGACAGGCGAGAGGCAAGTTTCAATTTGGTGTATGGTATGGCGCCTTTTTCACTTTTTTCGCCTCATACACTCGCTTTGGTGTGGCTATCGTGCTTTGGCTCTGTTGTCAGGTCAGTGACCTCGAAGAGTCACATTGTCAGGCATCGGGCGGTGCCTTTTTCTACACTCCCACGCGTCGCGTCAGTCTTAGTCCAGAGCTAGCAACGAGATAACACCAAAAAAAGAAGACATTCGAAAGTCGGTTCCACCAGAACACGCATGCTGATGCTGTTTCCGAGGCAATCTCCTTCGATTCCGGTGACCAGGTGCTAAGCTCCTTCTGACGGAACCGAGCCTCGAATCTCTTCACCCAACACTTCCACTCGAGACGGAAGTAAGCTCGACAATTGTGAAACGCTAGATTCCCGGAAAGCCAACTTTTCTTCGCATAAAAAGAAGACTTGAGTAAAATCGGTTGCCAGGGCATGGGGATAATGAGAAGAAGACGAACCATTGCCAAGCCCAGAATGTCCAATCTGTTGCCGGGAGCAATGCCGACACGACCTCTGTGATTGCAGATCCACCAGCCCTCGTAGCCGATTGGATCGCGCTCCAGCACGACCAGCAGGTCGCCGCGTGAAAAGGACAGCTCCTGCGGCATCTCGGACACATTGTCGTACATGGCCCTGGCGAGGAAGCTGTGCAACGGCGCGAAATCAGCAGCAGCATGCTCGCGGAGATGGCCGCTTGCGTCCAGCCCCGTCGGTGTGGAGCGTCGGTCTTGGCCGGGCATCGCAGCGAAGCTGTGTCGCCACAGCCTAGAGGGTGGAGTTGTGCGAAAAACACACGCGATAATCCCAGTCGACGGAGGAGGATGGGCGAAAGAAGCAGCGTCGGACGAAGCACTGTCGCCACAGTGGCATGTTCACGCGACGAGGACGTCTCGGCTTCGATAGATAGCCGGCGTCAATCTGAGATCGTGGAGCAGCGTGTTTGCTGGCGTGCAGACTAGAGCTGCTGGGGCCAGTGGCCAATCAGCGTCGAGATTCACGTGTCTGCTTCTCCTCCGTCTTGCAGGCAAGGCAGGGGTTAATGATCGTGGCCCAACAGCCAATCAGAGTCGAGCTGATTGCAGTTTGCACCCTCTCGATGACCTTGATCGGGCCTAGACAATGACTGGACCAGACAGGATCCGACAAATCACACCGTGCCAGTCGGCAGCTCACCCAACCAGCCGACGGTCCCCTCGTCGTCCTCCCCACTCACTCGTCACTCCTTACTCCCTCTCTTCTCTCTCTCTCCTCGTCTTCATCCGTTCGCGCAGGCATTCAGCCTACTTTGCGCACGTGCGCGCTTGAGTACAGTCTGCTGACGCCTGTCTCTTCGTGTGTCGGCATGCGAGTGGCCTCATTTTTGCTCTCGCCTGCACAACGCGTCGATGCGTTCAGCACTCATCAGCTAAACCGTGCGCTGCACGACGAAAATGTGCTCTTCAAAGAGTCTCTCAGTTGACAAGTGTTGTTGCATTTACTTGCATTTCGACTCAACCTCTGTACGTGTGTGTATGTGTGTGTGCGTGTGTGTGATGAAGAGATCCAATGGCCACTCCTACACGAAGAGGATGGCTGAGTGTCCGTTGGCTTTAATCCATCGCTCTGGTTGATGCTTATCGTTGAGATGGCCAACATTTAGAAACTGTCAGTCAGGTCAGGCTGGTCAAGGTGATTTGCGGACGGATAGTTGATTTTTGCCAAAGTGAGATGAGCTAATGAGTACATGGCTCTTTCAAGAAAGTCGTATTTGAGTAGAGTTTCGAGACTACCAGTAAATCAGTAATATGAGATG